GACGCCGGATACTATCCAACAGACAGCCGTAATGCATGCCGTGTCACCACGGACTTTATCACGGGGCTGGTTGGGACACGGAGATGGCACCTAACGAAAGGTTGCCGCATTACGTCCTGCCAGATATTAACCTGCCTTACTGCAGCCAGGGCTACGCATCTGAACAAGACGTGGAAACTAAACACAAAGTACTAGGGAAGCATACGAAGATACTATGATAAAGTGTTCATATATTTACTACTTCTTTTAAGGGACCAAAAATGTCCTGTTTTCTTTTTTTAACTAGCTGTATGGAAATCTTGCCTTTATGTGAAACAGTCAGATATGTAATTAGAATATAATGGGAAAACTTACAAATATGTTACGCAGACTTTTCAATTCCTTGAGGCTTATGACAATAACATTATTTCTGCTGGCTTACAGTTGTAAAAAACCTAATGAAAGCTGATGGTAATGTTAGTGAATGAAAGAGCTACTTCTTGGAAACAAGTTTGATGCTGTAAAATACGGCTTACAGAGGAAAGGGCAAGTCACTAATATACTAAATTAATTAACAGAGAGACTTGCAGCTGCTTAGACCTTGGGTAAATAGTAATTGAACAACTTGCAGAAAATGTTGGTGTTCCGTCATTATTAGGTTGGAGGGGATTCAGCTCGGCATCCTGATTTTGATAAGCTCAGTGTCTGCTAATACTTAGCATGCACACGGTCAATATTTTAGTCTTATTTTTAAAAGTTCAGGATTAACAAGTACAGAAAGAATCTTTTTTGGTGCCAGCTTTAAAGCTTAAAAATTAAGCTATTATATGCCTAAATAAAAAAATGGCATGAGCGAGACCAAGGTCACTCCTGAAAGCCACTCCTTCGAAAGGGGCAGGAACCACTGCTCAAGGTTTAGGTGCTAACTTTAGGCCTGTGAAAGCTGAGCTCGACTTTCTGCACCGCAACGCCTCTCCCATGTGCAGACAGGGAAGCAGCGAGGCTCCTCTACCACTGCATCACTTCTCTGCATGTCAAGTGACACCAGCAGTACTGTCATAGCCCTCCAACGTGAGGACAGCGACAACCATGGAAACGGAAAGCAGGGAAAGACCTCGGTGGTCATGTAGAACCTTTCCTAATTTTACCCCAAATCATGATGTCTTCTCAAAACCATTTGTGCCTCTTGCCTTTGCTAGTTTTTTGGAGGACTATTGATAAAGGAAAGCAACAGCCTCAGTGCTATAGTGGTGGTACCAACAGCAAACAGACATCAGTAAACACACAGTGTCTGTTGTTGGATGTCTGAATAACACTATGCCTTTCTTACCTGTCACGTAGGCAAATACATCAGAAATCACATCATCTTTCATAATGGCAGGACTTTACAAAAGGCATCCAGTGATATCCAGTGGACAAAACCCTTTCATCAACTCACTGGTGACCACAACAGTGAAAAAGCCTCGAGTTCCTCAGTCTTACTGACAAGTAAGTACCTGGGTAACAGCAAAGCACACGGATGCTCAGCAGTCTTTGCCTCTTGCTGGTCCCTGCCTTCCTGACAGCCTGTGCCTTACATATTCAGGTGTCTGCAGGAGGTGAAACCTAGGACAAGCAATTTACATTTAACTCCATTTTTACCTGGAAAAGGATGAAATTAACAGGAAAAAATAAGGTGACTGTCATGCAAATAGCAGTGATTTACGGCCTTGGTTTGGAGAGATTATGTCAGGCTTTCAGGAGTCTGAATAAGCTACGTGAGTCCAAAGGAGGAGGAGAGACGAAACCCTGACCTATAAAGCAAGAGGGCTCCAAAACATCCCCCAAATCCTGTTTTGACCATTTCACCTGCTGCGGCCACGGGGTCAGCTCCAAGCTGGAGGTACATTTCCACCAGCAGCCATCCTGCTCCCATCCCGGCTGCGGTGTGGTGGCCGTGCCGCTAAGGCGGGAGCCGGACAGGCGAGGAGGCATCGTCCCCATGCTGATGCCTGTCATTCTGTCAGCCTTGACCTTCAGGCTGTCCTCAGCATCCGCACCGCAGCCTGCCTGCACTTCCCCGCTGACTGCGAGCGACTGTTGTCTTGCTGCCTGACCTTACGCAAACACGATACAAACAGACAGCCCACCTCAGCTCCATCACTGTCTGCTGCTAATACAGGAGATTGATAGCCACATGAAATTATCTCCCTGCTCGACCTTCATTACTGGGTGGTATATTCTGACTGACAGCCAACCCCATTCTGGGGAAAGCTAAACCACCCGTTCAGGTTTTTTTACTGTCTAAAAGTGAAGGAACTTCCTTTTGTAAAGAAAATCAACACTTTCTCAGTCTCGACAGAAAAAGAAGCCTTTGTTAAACAGAAAAATATGTCGTAACTTGAATCTTTCCCGGACCACCATGCATACCAATAACAACGCAATGCATGGCTGCTCCAAGATGCTCTGTCAGATGCTGTGCTGGGTCGCAGGGCAGGTGTGCTCCCACCTCGACAGATTTTACACGGCAAGTTTTCAGCTCCGCCATGAGCTATAGGTTTCCTGGGGAGAGCACGGCCAGCCCTAAGGCAACGAGCAATGTATGGATGCAGCAGGTGGGAGGAAGGGATGTAGCTAAAGTGAACCTGGCTTTACACACGTCGCAACTGCCAGTAAGGACTGCATGGGTAAATACCGGCTTTCCGTCGCTCTCTGCCAGCCAGCTCGCAAATACATGATGCATGTGGCCTAAACAGCTTTCTGAAAAGAAATCATGACTCTTCCACTCAGATATTCAGATTTCTTATAGTAGACATGAAACATACAGAGTTGAGTTTTCTCTCAGACCCCCTGTGGTTCCTTTTTGTGACCTCCCGATAGCAGAAGCCAGAAACCACACCCTACAGTCTCCGTACCAAACTCCCAGGCGTTACGCAGAGCCTGCCCCGTGTGAGAAAGTGGAATGCCGCAGCCTTGCAGCTCCAGCACAGAGCCTCCCGTAATCCCCAGGCAACAGAGAGACGGCAGCAACCAAGAAAGAATATGAACCTTCAGCCTTCTGATCTGAAGTCAACCATCAGTTAAAAACAGCTAAGTCATAGCAAAACATCTCGCTCCTTTCTTGGAATATTTTAAATGAATGACTCAAATAGCCCGTCCGTGGCCGAGTTGCCCCTTTGGCAGAGCCCAGCAGTCTCCCAGCACGGTGCAGCAGCCACACACAGCCCTGGGCAGCTGTACAGGCATGGGACTGGGGTCTATACACTGAACAGGTTTTAAAGCAAGACATTTTCCTGAGCGCACAATTCTCCTGCCCCATGGGGAGGGAATGGCAGGGTGTCACCTTGGCCAGTATCATCAGATACCTCTTGCCACCGGCACTGATGAAGAGGAGGCTCCAGCTCTGGCTATGCTGGACCCTGTGAAGAGGTACACGGGGTAGCCGTGACTGGCATCCAACCTCCTCTCTGTTACGGGCCAAAAGGGCTTTGAAGCAGGTCCTGTCCCCACCGCAGCCTCCTGCCTATGGAAGAGGTGCGATGGGGCAGCCAGTTTCACCTGCCTGATTTCCATCCCCTACACACCGTGTGAACCATCTCCTAAACACACGCCTAAAAAAACTCAAGGCTCTGACCCCTTACGGGACTTGGGTGCCCAAATGCCATCCAACTCCCAGGAGAGTGTACGACCCGAATGTCGGTGCCGCAGCGGGTCTCCCTGTGCCGCAGGGATGCAAACTGCCCAGTGTGCTCAGTGACCAAGGAGCCCGGTGCCCTCTACAACACACTTCTGTGCACTGCGCGCTTTCGCTTACCTTTTCGGCTCTGGATTCGGCTGGGATTTGGAATCTTTCCTTTTTTTGGACTCCTTTTTGGAATCCTTTTTTGTCTCCACTTCAGTGGCAGAGGCATGAGACACTTTTCCCCCCTCGCCGTCTGCACTTGGCTGTGACCCACCAAGTAATTCTGCCATGTGTTGGCTTTGGGGAGTGATTGAAACGTGGGGGGCAAGGCCAGCAGCAAAAGTGAAAGAAACAAGAAGAAAGCATGAAAAAACTCAAAATAAAACAAAAGGAAACTAAACTGAAAGGAAACAACTGAAATCAAACAACAATTGGCAAAGAAGGAACAAACGAGCAAAAGAAAGTCAGAACTAAAAAAGAAACTAAGGAAGTAAAAACTCGGTTTCCATGACAAGATGTTTGAAAGTAACTGCAAAAGCAAGCGGCACCCTTGCAACGTGAAACCTGGGCAAAGTGTGTCATAATTTGGGATGGTATTTACCAGAGGGTTTATGAAAACACATTAGTTATTTTATAACATTCCTTTCTTCAGCAGTATATGCAGGATAGAGAGCGATATCTCAGAGTATATAATACAATTTAACAGAAAAGAAGCAGAAAAATAATCTGCAATAGATGCTACAGCTGTCAACAAAATAAACAGAAAATGAAAAAGCACAGCTCCAGTTCCTCCCATCAAAGGTTTGCCACATTTGAGAGAAAGAAGTGGGCTGCTTCTGAAATTGAAATTGCTTTGCAACAGCGCAAGATAAAATTTTCAGTTATGTCTAAGCAATTTCTGAACTGACGTCACATGGACTTTAAGCGAGACATGGGTGCCCAAGGGCTTAAAGCCCTTCTGAACACTGAAGTTTGATACTGCTGAAAATTTCACTGCTGCAACTTGTCAGATCCTCTCACACAGCAATTAAATCAGCACAGCGTATGCTTTACACTTATTTATTCAACCCGTGACAGTCTCATGTACTTCAAGTCTATCTTGTCTAGAACTGCATCCAGCAGGTGCCTGGGTAAGAAAGTTAAAACCCCTCATTTCTGGATCCTCTACGTGCATTTTTATTGCTTACGTTAAACAAGCAAGGAAACAAACAAACAAACCGACTATGCCACTAGAAGCGCTGCTGCCAAACATCCACTGTGAAAACAAATTGGGGACTGTTGTGCATTATCCAAGGAAACCTATATTTGACAAAGTCATCCCTTGCTGGCAGGGAGCTGCTAGCCAAGAAGAATTCCTTACCTGTTGCCATGAACATGTGATGCACAAAAGGCAAAGCTGTAGTGAAGTAAGGTGGGGTCAATCATAGCTCCGTTTTCTGCGCGCTCTAGCAAATCTCTGAGGTAGCAGAGATGTCTGTGACAGCCTCTCACTCCATTACGTGCACAATACTCATCTAGCACAAAGACCTGGCCAGGACTAAACCAGCCCTGTTTAGAAATAAAGAGACTTGATTTTAAATATAAGTTATTAAATACAAAGGCTATCAGATTTGGAGGTGTAGTGGTCAACTGTTCTAATAAAAGAAATACAAACCTAAGGCTAAGTTAAGGAAAAAGGAGAGAGGTCACTCTTAAACAATGCAGTCTGCATATCATCACCCAAACACAGCATATACTCAGTGCAACTGTTAACAAAAACATATTATGCTACCATTAAAGGAAAATGTCATTAAAAATGCTGAAAAGTTAGGCCAGTTCATGTCAGTGCCTAGCAAAAAAAGAAAAAAAAGGAAAAAAAACAAAAAGACTTACACCTTTAAGAGACGACAAAGGTTTGGTTATTTAAACAGCGTGAAACAGTAATCTCATTTTGGGGATGGGATTGTACATTCAGCCAGGAGCAAGAAGACTGATCTGGGGGAGAGCGTGGAGGATTACACTGAATAATGACTTCTCTTGCATCTGGCAGGTAGGAACATCCTGCAGACGGAGGAAGGCAGCTCCGCAGTATCAGAAAGGGATGCTTCCCATCATTTTTATTGCGTATCGCTGGCGACGCGCTCTGCCATCACCCACCTCCTCAGCATCGAAGCAAAGGGAAGCTCTGCTCATGAGCAGGTTTCTTTACGCATCCAGAAACCTCAGACTATTTCTGTCTGTCAGTCCTGAGGGCCTGGTGCCACACGGATTGCGGTGCAATGTCCGGGCTCCCGAGGAGGATGCCCTTCGCTGCGAGGGGACGGCTCCGGTGAACGTCCCGGGACAGCCTAAGTGGAGTGTGCCTCTGCCTTTGGGAAAGGCGCTAGCAAGAACAAGAATAATCTTGTAGATTGCTTTTCAAAATGCTGCAAAACCGTCAATATTTACATGGAAATTTGGGTGCTAAACAATTGCTAAGACGCAGCTCTGGAATGCATCAAGCTGCAAAATCTTTCATCATTTAATTGAAAAGTTCCTGCAGCGGGCGGGAGAGTAGTTGAGGCAGAGCACTGCCCCTATAGGCAACTTCTTTGCCACCCCATCTGTTACCCCAAATGCTACATCTTAGAAACAACACTGCTGTGAAAGATTAAAATATATTTTCTACCACTCAGATGACACCAAATCTTTTCTAGATGCCAAAATAGCTGCTTTGAAAAGAGTTGAAGAAATATCAATTAAGAGCTCAAAGACATAGAGAAGGATTTGCTCATCCTTATTGGGCCAACTCCAAAACAGATTGAGAAAAGAATTAAAATAATGAGGGGAAAATGATAGATATAGGGAGTAGCTACAGTGCTGGGATCACTAGAAGTGCACATTTCAAAATGAAGACACAGAACAATGCAGATGGGACGGCACTCTGGAAGGCTATTTTTTGGGAGGGGTATATTTGTCTTCACCGCTTTTAATGGTATTTTTGTTTGCTTTTTGGTTGGTGGTATTATGTTTGATTCTGGATTTCTTTACGTTGCCTGTTTGTTACATCCTTGGACCGTCTCTTCACCTTGCCTCTCTCCACACAAGTCTTTGGTGATCAGGGATGGTAAAAATATAGAAATGCCGTGATTGCTCTGCGATAGAAAGACGTGTGCATTTGGTTATCGGGGTAGAAATGCAGTTGAAATCGTTATATTCACCTAATACATACAAAGGACTCAGCCCTTCCTATAGGGTGAAATCTTGGCCCTACTGACATCAGCGGGAAGGCTGGCACTAACTTCACTGGAGCCAAGTATCAAGCCCAGAGTTTCGGGTGCAGGAAGCAGGAGGCTGGACCCAGCGATCTGGAGCACCCCATATTGCTCCCCTGCACCGAGGTCTGGGAAGTGCTGGTCCTCAGACAGACAGAAGGGATGGGGGCAAACACTCAAGATCTCTGCCACGGCTCAATGAGGGGAAGCACGAGCAGAAGCTCAGAGGTTCAGTGATGAGCCTCATACCTCATGAAAGGACAGGCAAGCTGAGTATGGGTGGAGAGATCCAAAGCCCAGGAGAACCAGGTGGTCTTCTTTTGCATGGCAAAGGTAGGAAATAAAAATCCCGCTGCTGAATGGAGCTCCAAAAGAGCAGTAAATTTTGCTCCCCACAGCCCCAGAAAAAAAATCTCAGGTTTGATGAAAGGCGGTATTCAGACAAATCTCTCACATCTTCAGGCAGATCCTGGCTCTTGATTAAGATTTGCCTGGCGTAACCAGCTGAGAACCAGCCAGTCTGGCAAACGCAGCTGATAGCGATGACACACCAGGTGTCTCTTCCCAGCGCAGCTAGGTGTAGCTCCGTGTGGTCTCCCAGATGGTCTTCAATGGCATGAGGAAACCCAGAGGGGACAATGGAGGAAGGCTGCAGAGCACAGGGAGCTCGACTGACCGTGTTCAACAAGCTGAACTGCACCGAGAAGGGGACATGTGTCCCAAGCACCAGCAGGGAGTGCAACGGGAGCTTTGGAGTTGGGTAAAGCAAGGCTTGGCCAGGGTTGGTGAAACACTGGCCATTTTTCTAATGGCAAATGCAGCTTTTCCAAAAACCAGAATTTGAGGGAAAATTTTCACTTTTCTGTAGCTGAATTTTCCTGTTTACCATAGGAAAAGCAAAAGAATTTCACTTTGGTGGCCTGCTTCATGGACCTTTTAACCTGCCTCCTTCACATCATCTCAGCTAGGTTGGGCACTCTGGAAGACCACCTTTCCTTGGTACATGCCATGCTGTATTATGTGAATCCCACGAATGCTGACACATCATGGACAATACAGCTCCAGCAAGGACCCGGCTGCGTGAGCCGGCAGTGGGTTGGGAATTCCTGGGAAGAGCTGAAGGGCAGTCTCAGAAACAACGCATGCATTCAAGCAAAAGGAATGAAGACCCACGCCTGTGTGGGGTCCATACTAAGCTGGAAGAGCTGCATAATCTTCCCAAAAGTCCAGGAAGAGCTGTGAATGAAACTGTGCTCTCAGTTTGTGGACGATGGGCAGGAGCCCTCAGCAAGCTCTGCAGACAACACTCTTCCCCTTCCCCAGCACGGTGCTCTCTGCCAGCAAACATCACTTCTGCCATAGCTGAGATTAGTCAGCCAGCCTGTTTGTTTTCATAGGGATGCCTGGCTCAGCCTGCGAGTGGGCTCGCAATAATGTTGTTTAACCTGGTTCCACGGAAAGGAGGCGACGCCGATTTATCCTCTGTGTCAGGGTGAGCCACTGTGTCTGGGTAAGTCATCCCTGGTACCTCCACATCCACGTTCGAAAACAAGGAGAGGTGTGACGAGGCAAAACTCTGTGGGACCTTGCATGGGAATGTCCTGTAGGGAGAATAACAATTGCCCGGCGGCACACAGAGCGGACAGAGCAGGCTTACCACGGGCTCACAGCTTGTCCAGGCAAGCCAGCGCAGTGGTATCACCACCATCCCAAAGACATAGCAAGAGCAATGGGAGCTCTTGGCAGTTGAACTCAAATTTTGAGGTCAGTCTGGTTTTTTTTCATGGCATAATCAGGAAAAAAACATAGTAAAATAAGTAAAGAAGCATGTGAAATCCCAGCACAGGTGAGCACAGGCCATTATTCTCTTCTTTCTATATATATATGCAATGGGTGATTTGGAAGAAGGTGGTTAATTGGTGATGCTCCACTCTGAAGAGGCACAAGTCTTGGTGCTGAGGGGAGCTCCACCACTCTGGTAGCTTCTAGCAAGGGCCTAAACATCTCGATAACAAGCAGGAGTGTGGCTGGTGGGTTTCTTGAAGAGAAACATTGTTAATCATTTTCAGTGATGGCCTTGCACCTCTCCATGAATTTAATTCAACCGCCACAGCTCTCACACCAGGCCCGAGACTGCACAGAGACAAACCAGCTGCAAGCCAACCTGTCAGACATGCACGGATGGGGATGGTCCTCCTAGGGGCAGCCATGCATCGGCAGCAGAAGCTACATGCCAAACTCACTGCCTGCCGGAGCAAAGACCTCGATGGAACTGGTGAGAAACCTGCTGCAGGTCTGACAATGCTCCCACCAAGCCTACTTGTACCACTTGGGTATCTGCGAGTAAAGTGCACGCTGCAGCCTTCCCCCACCCCATCCTTACCTCAGGGGACGTCCACAACCATTCCTCCTAGCCCTGCCTCTCACCAGGAAGGTGACAACTCACTACTGCTAAAGGCATTTACTGGACCTCAGCCTTTCTGAGGAGATCAGTCCTTGTGTGTGGTGCAAGGAGCAGGGCAGGTGAGAGGAGCACTGTGGTGGAGGGGGACGTGGAGGACAGGATTTGAGACTGACAGCCTCACTGTCAACAGTTGTGTTCCCAGGTTGCTGCTTTTAACAGCAAGCCACTCAAGAGCCCCAGCTCCAGGGACTGCACAGTTGGCAAAAAATGAAGGTTATGGGGATGGGGTGGTCCTTCTGCTGAGGAAGCCCAAGATGACACCCCAGTGCGGAGGTTTCTGTGTGACACTGGGAGGGTGGCAGGTCAGGATCTGTCCCATGCTGTGTTCAGGACAGGACCTCCATTTCAGGCCCCTCTAGAAAGGCTTCATCCTGTTGTTCTCTCAAAAACTAAGAGCCTCTTCATCCTCCTCACTGAAACTGCTAAAAAATTAATTGTTCAAGTTGTACAGTTACAGGTTATTTGTCACTTAAACCCTCACAGTGCCTAAGAGTCCCCAAGCACTGCACCCCAGCCAAAGGCTACAACTTGTCTCGGAGCATCTCAGTGCCACCGTCCTATAGACCATGTTACAGAACAGTGGGCTGAGAGCTGCAATCTGTGCTCATGAGAATAATCAGGATGGGCATGCAACTCCATGAGCAGGGACAGACTGCAGCATCACTGCAGTTATCCACCTAAGCGCCTCTGTTATCTGCTGGGGATCCCTGCTCATAAAAAGACACAAAGCTAGGCCACAGTTATTCCTGGTGGGACTCCACTGACATGGGAGGTGGTACCAGGCTGTCATCTTTCCCCTGTTCTTTCATCCAGACGACTCTGGAAGGCAGTGCAGGAGGCTGCAAAACACTGCTCTCTACTTCACATCCCCACACTGGAGTTTGTTTTTGCAGGAAGAAACATTTTAAGCATTGCAAACAGAAATGATAAAGACAGTGCAACTGGAGAAGAACAGCAGTCAGTTCACTGCAGGTAGCCTCTTAAAAGAAAATACCTCTGGGCCAAATTCAAACCTGGTGTAAACAGAAGTCAATCTTCCAGCAACAGGGGGATTAGCCCCCACTCGCACTAGCTTTGACTTTGCTGCGTGATGTTTATATCACTAGAGACCAAAGAATATACTTGCCAGACAAGAATAGGAATCATTAAGTCTGTGGTCCAAAGTGAGGCGCTGAACCATCTCAAAGAGTGAAGCGTGGTCAAAGTTACAGGGATTGGAAGAGATAAATTCATCCATGCCATGCTTTTGAGCTCTATCTGCATCTGTTCATTTATACATATAGAGAAAGACACCATTTAGAGAGATATAAGACATTTTAGTTGACAAATACAACAGAAAAAAGTATACAGTATGAAGCATGAAAGCTAAATATCTCTTCTTCCCTACATTGCCATTAACTTTCCTCTTTGCAGGCTATACAGTACACTTTTCACCTCCCATTGTCAACTTGCATCAGTTATGGACTATCTTATTGCATTTAGGCAAAAGATTTTAGAATTAACATCTTGTCAACTGCTCATTATAGTGCATTTATTCTGTACTTAAAACCAGCACACAAACCCAAGAACTTACTCTGTATCTTACAATATGCTATGAGTTAACAGAATTTTGGCTCCCGTAAGTAAATTAGCTCCTATTTAGTTAGTTGCGGTTAATTATAATAGATTCTGCCATTCTAATGAAGTTACAGCTGTAGCATTTTTCTCTACATTTACTAGGTTTTCTAGGTATCGGATCAGTTACGTTGTTCTTTATCCGAATGCCAATGTTTTTCTCCCCACGGCAATTTTTTTCCTAATGGCAACTTTAAATGCTACCTCACCGAAATAAAAAGATGCTCTTTTAAGCATCGCTAAGAAGTTAAATTGATATGTAGTTTGCTGTCACTGAGGCAGTAACCCGATGGTGTGCCGGAGCTGCCAGTCATCCCGACGGAGGGACTGAATTTCCTCTGCCTGGATTACGAGCTGCCATTTTTGGGTGAATTAACAGCCTCAACGTATTCACACTTCTCTGCTTTGGGTGACGTTTATGGGCACTAACTCCTAGGGGCTAATTAATTAATCTCAACATGGTTAACTAAAAATACACCGAATTCAGCAGTTGAAATGAAGCTGCCAAACCAGCCTGGGTGCGGCCAGCCGGGACCCTGCTGGGAGCAGGCTTTGTTCTACCAGCGGCCGGGGAATTAAAGGACACCTTTCACTCGGTTTTGTCCGTGCTCAGCTTCCTACTATATGGGTTCTTGCCAAATCCTCGACAAAGAAAATAGGATTTAAATCCTTCCCCTGTTTATAGCCTCCTAGGGGAACTGGGTGGCCTTGAAACAATGTGGCTGAAAGGACACAAAAATGCAGTTTTCCGCAATAGTAGTATATGGTAACTGTATTTGTTTTAAAACAAAATCCCAGAAAAAAACCAAAAATCCTTAATTAAAAATAATAATAAAAAAGAGCTTTAAATGATAATGAGACAATGTTCTTTTATATATGTTTTATTATTTAATATTAAGCTGTGAAGGATGGCAAGTCTTCCTAAACACCTCATTCATGTCTGTGCTCTCAGATATTACTGATCATTGGAAGCAATCTTTACATTTTCTGTATAGTCTGTCGTTAGCTATATACAAACTATATAAATAACATCACCCACTGGAAAGAAATCAGACAAATTAAAACATGTAACATTTCAATTAGCTGCTAGCAATACTTAATTCAGCAGTAGCTGGCAATTTTCCTCATTAAAACCCTGCTGATATTTTTCCTACAGCTGGTTAATTTTTGAGGGTCCGCTCCCCTGTTTCACCCTGTGTGCCGGGTCCTGCTGCCTCTCCCCTGCCTCCTTCCCCAGTCCCAAATCCCCCCCTCCCCACCTCTGCTGGTGGCTCCCTGCATTCAGCACGGGGAGAGAAGCAGCTGCCGCGGGTGCTGAGCGACGTGGCAGCACGAGGGCTGGCTCGGGGGACGGGGACAACCTCCCCGACGAGTGCATCACCTCCACAACACCTTTCCAGCATCCTTAGGTGTGGGATGCAAAGCCCACCCAGCCCTGGAGCTCAGGGCATGGGTCGGCTCCTGTCTGTTTTGACAGCTTTCTGCCCCATCATCTCTGCCCCTTTGGGCCAAGATCGATTTGATTGCATACACTCCCAAAGAGTTTGTCTATGCTGTTTTCGATTCCATCCTTAGTGCCCGCAAAATGTTTTTACAGATATTATCAGACTATTTTTAATGGCTTGCTGCTCTGCCCGGCTCCTCGGAGTTGACTGCAAGCTGACAAATTGGCTGGAGGCCTTCATTTGCCAGCTTCGCTCAGAGATTTTATTACTTTTCAATTAGGAGCCCTGATACACTGTCAATCCTCCTGCTCAGCCAACGCGGCTCTGAGAGCTGAGTAAATCAGCTGGAAATTTGAAGAGTCCTCTAGCCCTTTAGCTGGTGAACTTTTTTGAGCATATGTGCTAGAAAGCATGTTTGAAATGAATATTTTTTACTCCAGACTAATAAGCTCTTCCCCACTTTATGTTCTCTGAGCAAGGTGGGCACAGAGCAAACCTTCCGTTGGTATGAACCGACTGAAGCTCTGCTGGCTTCCATGGAGCTGAGGGTCTGCCCTGGGCTTTTTAAGATCTCCCTGCCCAAGGCAGGGGCACAGACCATTCCCTGCCAAGTGTGAGAAAGACACAGTCATTAAACGGCCTTCATGACTTTCCATAATCAGGGGCAATTTTATTTTCATTAATCACTTTGAAGCCACACCTTACTGAGCATCCCATTGGGTGCCTGCTCGCAAGCCCATTTGCCCCAAATCTCCCCACTTCAGAACAACCACTCGAAGAGAGAGGTATCAGACATGGCACCGCATGAGCTCAAGTGACCAAAAAAGTATGAGCCGCATGACTTCTGCTCATTTGGCGGTTTAAAGTTTTTTTTTGCCATGGGAAGGAAGATGACTAGCCGCAGCTCTCCCTGCAGCAGCCCAGCACCGCAGTTCTTGCACGGTCAAACCATTTTGCATCGGCAGAGCTGCAGGGCTGGGTGGGTGCACATCACCCACCCAAGGGGATAAAGCTAGCACGGTGTGAACTGGAGACGTCTTTGGAGAATGGTAATACACACATCTATTTCTCTTAAATGGAATATCTGCCCTGGGCCAGATGCTTAAAATTCTTAAGAATAACTAGAAGCAGGTTAAAAAGGACAATCCTACACTAAACTCACCTTCCCTTAATTAGAAAATAAATACCCCATGCAACTTGCAATTCATGTTTGCATTTTGATTTTTCTAATGGACTCGCTTTTAAAAATTAAATTTAGGAATTAAATTACACCGAAAGCATTAAACTTCCCAAGCAATACAAAAAGAAAAGGATAGATCTAAATATATTACTACTTCGCTCCAGACAGCAGATCTGCGATTTACAATGCCAACATCTGCATATGAAATAAGTTTTATGTAAATCTACCCTCTTTCAAAATGGCTTGTACAGTTCGAATGAGATCTTAAACAAAGTACAAAATGAGAATGGCTAATATTCACAGCTAATTTGTAAGTACTTTAAATTAATTGTTTCAGTCAAATACAGTTGCTTTTTTGACCCTGCTCTGTTATTCTAGCTAAAAAGAAAGGAGAAACCAAAGAAAGAAAGTTATATGATGCTCCAGTAATTTACAATCCCTTCCCAAGGTGCCGTGCCAAGCTTGCTGGTACTTCTTTGTTCGGGGCCCCAGCCAAAATGCTGCTGCAGGCCCACAAAAGTTATCTTACATATTTAGACAAGCTGCACACAACTGCAGCTGAAAGGTGTTCGATGGTGGTCTCAGGGGGGAGGCTGCCAGCCGAGGTAAACGGGCAGCACAGACTCCACGAACCTTTCTTCTGCAAAACTGCAGACTCTGGCCTTTTATATTACACTTGGTCACCTACATTACGGTCTTTTTTTAATACTGCCAGGTTTATTTTGTTCATTTTTATCCAGTTTGCATTTTATACAGACTCCATTAACTAGCCCCCTGTCACACACACACACTCCCTACAAGTGTTTGAAATCAGAGTCTTAAAAATCTGCCAGTGTCAGGAACACAAAGATTTCAAAACCAACAAGAATAATGAAAATCAGAGGACCGTCCTACCATTTGGTCCTCTGAGGGCTGTATTTCTCTTTTTCTAACTGTTATTCAGAAAGGAAGAGACAAAACAATCAAATCTCTCATTCTTTTTTTTGAATGTATTTCCCTGCCCTGTGCATTTTTTTTGCTCCAGCAATAATTTTGGCAGATTTTGCTCTGAGAGCGGTGAAGTTAATAGCGGGGGACAAGCTCCATAAAAGAATTCTTGTTATAAAAGGCTTTAGGTAGCCATTTTATTGTAAGAATTTCTTACTCCAGATTTATTTCTTTTCATTAATGAGCGACTTTGTTTTAGTACCAAAGGCAACTGAACATCCAGTAAATTTTACGACACGCTTGCTTATTAAAAAAAAACACAAAAAACCCAACAAACAAAAAAACCAAACAACTGTAAATTAAAAGGTGACTTTGTATCTTACTCATCTGGAAAATGTGTGCTTGTCATATCTGCTTGACATTACAAGAATGAAGATGTGGTTTGGACAGTAACAAACAATGACACTAGTCAACCTCATCAGGAGACATGAAATAAAGGAATGACAATGATTGATGGCAGCTATTCATTTACAGATATTTCTAGAAAACTCTTCGCTGGTCTGGCCGGGCAAAGCGGGAGAAGTTTTCCAGCCTGTGCGGTGCTTGCCGGCAATGCACCGCGGCAGGCGGGCGACGGCGTGCCCACCGTGACTGCCGCACGCTCGGCTGCGTGCTCTGAGGGGCGGTGGGGTCCCCTCCTGCTCTCGCCGCTTAAGCGGAGCTAACGGACACGCTTGGGCTGCGACTCGTTAAAGAAATACCCGGGGAAGCGCCTGGAAACCTCGTTTTGTTCGGCCATGTGGAGCGAGAGCCTTTACTAGCAAATACCGGTGTTCTGGAGGGGGGAAAAAAAAAATAAAAATCCTGTACCGGGACTTAAAAATGCCAGGGTGTTGATGGTGAGCGAGCTGCTGGCAGTGTCGGATGAGGACTTACAAAGTCCCCTCCTCGCTGTGCACTACGGCATTGCCACCTCTGAAAAGTGATGAGCGTGTGTTGGTGTGTGTGTGTGTCCGGGGCTCTGCAAACCTCCTCCTCGCTGCGAGCTGCGGCCGCTGCAGCAGGCTGAACTCGCCTCTCAGCTGGATACCTAAGAC